TACCTCCTGATATGACCCCGCACATCCATCCATAAAGCACTCTCTCGGCTGCTGTAACTGTTGAATCTGGGACTGAACCTGACGGCCCAAATAACCATCGTGATAGTTCTGAATCGGCGGTGCACTCATGGGAGCTGGAGGTGCACTGTAGGTTAGCTGCTCATAACGAGACCCATAAGAACCACGATTTCTCGAAGCACCATGTGGTACCTGAAGTGTTAACTAAATCAGCCTATGAGGGTGGCTTCTACCAAATGAACCCATGCCTCTAGATGAGGCACCACTGAAACCACCAAAATTACGAGGCCTCTTCTCAGATACCGCCTCCCTACCCTGACCACGAATCATCTCGATCCATTTAGCAATCCCTACCACCTGCTGGAAAGCAATATCATCCCTAGTTTCATTGGCTATTTGTAGCCTGATACCAAAAGTAAGGCCAACAATGAATCTCCTCACCCTTTCCCTCTCAGTAGGGAATAAGACAACTACATGGCGAGATAAATCTATGAATCAGGTCTCGTACTAGGTAACATTCATGCTACCCTACTGGAGGTGCTCAAATTGCATGTGGTACTCCTCTCTTAGAGTAAAAGGGATGAACTTCTTCAAAAATAGCTGTGAAAACTGATCCCAAGTGAGTAGAGGTGATCCCATTAGTCTACCTCGAACATAGTCCCGCCACCATCTCTTGGTGAAGCCGTGCATCTGAAATATCGCAAAGTCAAATCTATTAGACTCCACTATAACCATATTGCGCAATACCTCGTGGAAACGGTCAATGAAATCCTGTGGGTCTTCAGAAGGTGTGCCACCAAAGAGAATAGGAAATAACTTAGTGAACTTGTCCAATCCTTTCAACCTCTCTGCGACATAGTGTGCTTCTCCCCGAGCTGAGTAGCAATAATGGGCTAAAATACTCTAACTGTTGGGATCGCCGGAGTCTAATATGTGGGAGCCATCTACTCCCGATTGTGAGTAGCGGGAGTCTGGGCTCCTCCCCCAGCCTGAGAGATGGCTAGTGCCACAGGAAATGCATCGGCCTGGGCCACACTCTCCATAAGTCCCACTAAGTGTATTAGAGCGTCCTGAAGTATGGGAGTCGCTATGAACCCCTCTGGGACCTGAGCTGGTCCAACTGGCACAACTGGAGTAGGGATCTCCTCCCCCTGCTCGATTTGAGGCTCTGCAATAGGTGCTGCTGCGCGGGCTCTAGGCTGAGCTCTTCCCCTGCCTCTGGCTCGACCTCGGCCCCGGCCCCTACCCCTAGTAGAGGCTGCAACCCGGGGCTCCGGCTCGACTGTGGATGTTGTGCGTGTCCTTGCCATCTGCGAGAAAACAAGAACAAAATGGTTCAAACTTCCGTGATAGAATAAAGTCGCACGATAGAGAAATAAAGAAGTAACATTTCCTAAAGCTCTATATCCTCTAGAAGATAAGTACAAATGTCTCTGTACCGATCATCCAGACTCTACTAAGCTTGTTCATGACTTGTGAGACCTAGGAAACCCGGCTCTAATACCAACTTGTCACGACTCGAAACCCCCACCGCGGGGTCATCATGGCGCCTAAAGTCTACTTGCTAGGCAAGCCAACATTAGTACACAATTAATCATTTAAAACCAAAATTGAAAGCAATTTAATGATAAATAAAGCTGTAGAGTTTTAAAAGAAGATATAATAACTCCAAATACTGATTAATCAAACCTCAAAATTTGGTGTCACAAGTACATAAGCATTCTAACAGTGCTACAACCAAAATCTGAATGAAAGTACAACTGTTTGAAATGAAAATAAACAATAGAACTAGATAGGGAAGGGGATTTCAGAGTTGCGGACGTCGTACAACTATACCTCAAGTCTCCGTGATCAGCTAATCCAAGCATGCCTTCACTAACTGCTACTGGGGCCAATACCAGAATCTTCACAAGAAGTGCAGAAGTGTAGCATGAGTACAACCGACCCTATGTACTCTATAAGTATCGAGCCTAACCTCGACGAGGTAGTGGCGAGGCTATAACAAGGCACTCACTAAAAATCTATACGAATATAATGAAATAACAACGAAAGAGAGAAAGCAATTATAACATGAAAACTGGAACATAAATTATATAATAGAGGACCTCAAAATAACATCAAATCTCAATTTTCTCAATATAATCCGGATACGGGAAACAACAGTTTGAAACAGTTAAATATGTCTTCTTCATTGCGACGCTCAATTCGATCCACAAATATATAAATAAATAATATCTTCTCCGTTGTGGCGCGTAACCAGATCCACAAATATATAAATAACATGTTTTTTCCGTTGCGGCGCGCAACTCGATCCAAAATATAAATGTACAAATACCGTTGTGGCGTGGCAATAATATCAATATCTGTTATGGCGCGCAACCCGATCCCACAAAAATATAAATCAAACGTATAAACTACAACCAACTACGGCATAATCCCATTAATACACAATAAATGAATTATATAATTAAATACATAAAGCGGATAAAAGAAGCTATCTAAGAACACACGAGGTATAAAGGCAAGTAAAGACAGTCAATAAATAACTACATGGATACATAAAAATAATTAGTAACTAAGGCATGTAACGGATCCAAGGATGAATTTAACACGTAAAGGCAAGTAGCAATTAAAGTATTTAACAAGTAATAACATGGATCAAATAAAGGCATGAAATAATTGAAAACAATAAATAAATATCTCAACCCACATGCTTAACCTGTGACTACGTATATACACTCGTCACCTTGCATATACGTCGTCCCCACACATAAATTAAGTAGCAAATAGATCAATAGTCATGATTCCCTCAAGTCAAATTTAACCACGATACTTACCTCTTTTCGCAACCCAATCAATGCTCAACCACAACATTTCCTTTAGAATTAGCCTCCAAACTAATCAAATCTAGCCAAATATAGTTCAATTAATTCAAAATAATCTTTAAAACTACCCACGAGTGAAACTGGTTAGATCTTTAATGAAATTGGAAAAAAAAATTAACAAAAGTCAACCCCGAGCTTGCTTGGTCAAAATTCGAGATTCGGACTAAAGCCCGATTAGCTCTTCACCCCCGAGCCCGGTTATGTGATATATTTTGAAATCCGACCTCAATTTGAGTTCTAAATCTCAATTTTGTAAAATCCCTAGTTTCTACCCAAAACCCCTAATTTCTACCATGAATATCATAGATTAAGGTTAAAAATCAATGGGTGATTATGGAAATACATCAAAACTAGTTAAAATTCACTAACCATTGAAGTGGGGATGGAAATATCTTTAAATCCTCTCTAGGCCGAGCTTTATCTTTCAAAAATAATATTGAATGCCTAAATCTCGACTTTCAGCACTTTTAAATATCTGGGCATTAGGTGTTTTTAGCGTTCGCGAAGCACCTGACGCATTCACGAAAGCTTAATTCTCAGCCTGCTATCGCGTTCGCGTCCCCTGATCTGCGTTCGCGAAGAAGAACCCTGCAATCCCCCGGGTCCTCCCCAAAGCTTCGCGTTTGCGAGATGCCTATCGCGTTTGCGAAGGGTAAGCCCTTCATTGCTTCGTGTTCACAACCGACCTCTCGTATTCGCGAAGAGAAACTAGCCCCAGCCCAAAATCTCCCATTCGCGATCACGAGAGAGCCTTCACGATCGCGAAGCATTAGACACCAGAAGTCAAAAATAACAGTTCCAACAAGTCAAAAATAGTTCGAAGCCTATCCAAAACTCGCCTGAGCCCCTCGGAAAACAAACCGAACATGCACACAAGTGTAATAACATCATATAAACCTGTTCGCTATTTCAAATCTTCAATATAACATCAAATAACAAGAATTTATCATCAAAACTCAAGATTTCAACTTGAAAACTTATTTTTCACAATCTTTCACAAAATGCACTGAAACTCGCTCGGGTCACTCCAGACCCACCCAAACAAACATGCGTACAAGTCCAAAAATATCATACGAACCTATCGGAATCGTCAAAATACCGATTCGAGTTTGTTTACCAAGATTGTTGACTGTGGTTTCGGTTCAAATAAATATCATAATTTATAACAAGGATTGAGTTACTTTTTAAAATCTGTCAAATAACAATAATTACGTAAAAGTCTTTATATAGTCAACCTAAGGTGGTAGGTCATATGTACTAACAAACTTTGGATCGTGCTGTGTAATTATGTGTATGTATGCTTGTAAATTTTAGAAAACCCCCTGCAGTGTTTTCTTCCTATTCAATATTCTAAATTCTGCTTATTTTGGAAAGTGCTTTTTTGTTAGAAGTATTTTTTCAAAAAAGGTATTTTAAAAAATATTTTTGCTAATAGTAGACACTATTTTGTTCTTAGCAAGCTTTCAAAAAATGCTTATGAGAAGAAGCTACAATTTAATTTTCAAGCTTATCAAAAATAACTTTTGCTATTACCTAAAAATATTTTTTTTAGAAGCTTGGTCAAACACCTCAAATCTCTAAAATAAATAGAGTATTTAAAATTTAACTAGCTTGGAATCAAATTGCCAAAATCAACCTTAAGATTTCGATTCTGAAATTAGACTTTATTAGAACTTCAGACCCGAAAGGTCTAAAGTTTGATTTGGCAGTTGAAACTTCTTTAAATCAATTAATACTTCTTTCCTTATTTTTGTGATTCGATTGATGTTTTCCTTTTATGATTTTGGTTAATTCAACACTATATAAACCCCTCCCCCAATTTCCCTAAAACGGACTGAAAAATTACTACCCTCTCCCACTCTCACTCACTCGATATTATTCTGAAACTATTGGTTCTTGGCCGACTGAAAGCCAAGGCTATCGGAATTTGCTTTATCTACCTCCCAGTGTGAGCACTGCTCGGGGCTCATCTGAATCCCTTGTGAACTCTGACGCACTCGGATTGGGATCCTGCAGTCCTCTGTTGCTACTGATCTTTGAAATATTGCTAAAATTTGTTCTTCTCCTTTACTTGTTCGTTAATTTTTACTGGTCAGTATCTTTGACTCTCGCAATTTTATCCTTTTGCTTGTGTTCATGCCTTGTATATCTATGCCACTTAAGCTTTAGTGAACCGATATGTTACTATGTCGTCTCTACTTATGGTCCTATTTGCTTTAAAGTTGTCTTGTAGCTGTATGCTTTTCTAGCATTAGAACCTGCCTAAAACTCTAAGTTTGATGTATGCCCTCGATTTCTAACTATCTTAAGTCTACTTAGCCTAATATGTTTGGGTATGCCTGAATGCTTATACCTGTTGTTTGCCATGGGTTCATCTCTCTACTTGTTCCAGATTCTTTGTGATAAACTAGCTTATACCCAGAATTTGTTCTAATGTATTACCTCATGCTGAGTCATTTGTGTAAAACTTATGGTTGATCCATGGATCATGTGATTTATAAGTACCAATATTGCCCGGACCTGTAAACAAACATGACATGCTTTTCTGCTACTTATAAACTTCAATGTGTGCTCCCTGACTTGTTCAAACCTTGTATTGTTTAGTGCTGCCTAAGACCTCTAGAACATATCTCAGTGTTCAGTTCCCCTCCCTACATGAAATTAATTGGTGTTAATCTAGATACATGCCTGCCTTGTTGATCCAAGTGACATGCCTCTTGAACTTTTCTTGTTTTATGACTAATGTTTAGCATGCTAAAAGTTTCCCCTGTTAAGCAATTGCTTGATCATGAACTTGTGTTGTTATAGCTTCCATGTCAAACATACCATGTTAAGGTTGTGCTCTACTGATTCTCCTGGCTTTTACGATGAAACCTTTTGTCTAAAATGCTTTAGGCTAGTCCTGGATAGTGTCTTGTTTCGAAACTCTACTTGAAGTAGTCTGCTACCCCATGATGACTATTCCTGTTACTTCAACTTAGTTTTCTGAAAATATAAGCATGTGTGTACCTTGTGAATGCTTCATGTAATCTTATCCATATACCTTGGCGAGAATTGATGTTATTTACAGTTTTAAGAATTGCAGTGTGTGTGGAGTTCAAGTTGCGTAATTAAATCCCTGTGTAGTCTGCTTGTTTGTTAGTTTGGCATCCAATTGGGTAAGCAGGGTCTTCATTTGGGCCTAAATTTGTTGGATCTTATGTGTTGTTGGACATGTGTAGGACTACGACTTCCACTACTAGACCTCTTGTTAAAACTGGTCTAAACTTCAGGCTAGTTTGGCTCTAACATTTCAAATAGTGCTCTTAACATCAGTTACTTGGTGCCATTTCTACATATTGATAATAATGAAGAGGGGTTTGCAGAAATATGATACTTTTTAGGATAATTTTTAATTTTTGATCCCCGCTTACTTCGTGGATAAAATTTTAAAGTTAAAAGTTAAAAGTTAAAAGTGTTGCTCATGGGGCGAATGCGAAAACACTTATTGAATTTGAAGTTATAACCTCGGGGCATGCCAGGACAAAATCTAAGACTATTTGCTTTGAGTACTATTTGTGTACTTCATTGGGCTAATCAGTAAAGACCCAATTTAGATTTCCCATTCAAATGGCTGCCCAACTCCAAACGGGTCAAAAGCTAACATAATTCGTGTCAATGGCTTTTGAGCTAAAAATATCAACAGAAACATGAGGTCATCAAGTAAAGAAAGCAAAAGGAAAAACAAGTATGGTTCATCCCCAACAAGAACCCGACCCGTTAAACCATCAGGACCCGACTCAAGACCTTCGGGTTCCAGGCTATCTCGTCCACCATCAGCTGCTCTCCTTGAGAGTGAAATTGTCACTGATTCAAACTTGGCTTTGTTTGAGAAGCTTGAAATTTCTTCTAATAACAACCCAAGAAGTTTCCCGTATAGTGTGAAGCAGCAGTGTTGGGGGAAAGCGGAGAAAGTGAAGGGTAGAGACCCGGACCGATGGCGCCGCGACCCGTTGGGGAATATACTGTTTCGGAAGCTTGTGGGTTGTCCTGGTTGTCTATGCCATGACTATGACCATATTATTCCCTATTCCAAGGTACTTTTCTTCCAAGTTCTCAATTTTTACTCCCTCGGTTTTGTTTTGTGTGTGAATCTGTTTGATTGGAAATCAGAGTATGAGGAAGAAAGAAAGATTTGACAGGTAAGTAATATACCAAAATGCTCTTAGAATCTACTCCATTTCTATTAATGTGACTGTAGTTTGGCTCGGCATAAGTTTAAAAAATAAAATAAAGACTATTGAAATTTGTGGTCAAATATATCCTAATATATATGTGGCTATAAGATATTTTTTTGATAAGTGTGTGGCTATAAGATATTTGAAACTTGTGGTTTGAAATATTCCGTAATATTTGTGTTATTATAAAAGTTTAGAAACCCCTGACCAAGATGTCAACAAAAATATTCTAATAGTGATAATAAAAAAGACTTGGGAATCAAAAAATTGAAAGGATAGCCCTTCGACGGGAACTCCTACTACTTCTATCTACCTACATCATTCTTTCTTTCATAAATCAAGCAGGGAAAATAGAAAGTTTAAAGTCAAAATTGTTTTCAAATATCAAAATATGTTATTCTTTTTTATGTTCTAATAAGGAAAGTGTCACATAACTTGAAACGGAGGGAACAATTATTTTTGATGCCATGTAATTTTTATAGAAGTATGTCTTTAATGTTAAAAGGGGAAGAACTAAAGTTTTCATAAATATAGAAAGCTGTCAATTTTTATAAATAGACCACATACAAAATGAAACAGATGGAGTATCTTTTAGATTGATAAGGTGGACAAGTCTTGTGAGCTATGCAAAGCTTAAACGTCCAGGCTCAAGTCTGGATAAAGCAGGAGAGTTGTGTAAAAAGTAAAAACTATATACTTTCTAGACTGGAATGGATGTATATGATGATATGATTTATATAGCTGAATCTGAATAATTTGGGGTTGAGCTGCAGTTGATGTGTAGTGTCTATAAGATGGACATGTTTAGAATATTGAGCTTTGACACTATTTTGGGGTAACCCTGAGTTGGGGTTAATAGCAGCATTTTTGGGTTCAGACTACAAGGTTCTCTGAGACTTTCTATTTCTTTATGCATTCCCCGGCATAATTGATTTTGTGGCACTGTTTGTTCTAGAAGCTGTCTGCTAAGTGTTCTTTCTAATCCTTGTATTTATAAAAAATTGCAGTGTAGGAGATTTAGGTTATTAAATTGATCCTTTAATGATGTGAAAAACTAAAAGAAAATATGTTGATAACTTGATGATCTGATGAGTATAAGACACACCTATTTGTATGTGTTAAATAAAAGACACACACACATATATATATATATATATATATATATATATATATATATATATATATTTTTGCCCCTATTTTTTCTAATACCACCATTGCGAATAAGGATTCCATGGACGCATTTGTGGATTTTTAAACATATCTTTTCCTGTTTTTTCGCTATTGTTTGCTAAACTGTTCCTAAAAAATATAATCAAAGATTCAATTAATTTGGACATGTTAGGTAAACATTGATGCTAAAAATAAGACCAGAGAAATTAAAACGTATAAAATTTAATGCATACTTCATACTTAATAATTCACAAAAATATTCACACATTGTTGGTTTTAGTCCTACACAAAAACTTCACCAACCAACAAATACAGTCATGGTCAATAGAGCAATAAAAGTATTACCCAAATCTTTCACCTAACTTTTCATGTTACACAAAACAACAATTTAGTTATAGCAGATATATAAAAATAGCGACACTGCAAATAGTTTAAATTTTAATCTACCCTCCCCGCACTTGAATGTTTCATCATCCCGGATGAAAACGCGTTGTTAGACGAGATCTCCAGCTTCGCTAGCACCTCCAACTACACTACCTCCACCAAACTGGGACCACATATCATCCATCCAAGCATTATTATCAGAATCAACAAAATAGTATTGTTGTTCATCCACACCTTTTCTTTTCCCAAGAACTTCTCGAGGCCTTTCTGCATTCCGTTCGGCTATATTTAGATCCCTCACTTTGGGAGCGTCGGGATCCAAGCTTGTATTCTTAGGTGGAAACAATGGATATCTGGCGGCAATGTAGGTGCAGTTTGTGATGCTGGCTGCCCGTTTACAAAATTCAGATTCACTAAATGAAAAGGGAAAAAATCTATTAGTATCTTTTACCCATTTTTGCTTCCATAACCCATATTCTTCACATAGTTGGTAAACGCCCAAATCATAACGATAGTGTAGTTATGCATTAAAACATTCTTAACCTTGACAGGTTTTTTGTCAACCGAGCTTCTGAACCGACAAAATTTTCTCCTTGCTCTTGAACACCGATTTTCACATTTTCAAATGCTTTGATTAGTAATTCCATCTTATCGTTCACCTTCTAGGCATGGTTGGTTTCGGTCTTCCCCTAGCATTAAGTGATGCTTTTTTCCTCGTTTTGGTTTTATAGTTCTTCCATCTTTAGCCATCAGAATTTCTTGATGATCATTTTCCCTGACCGTGTAAATACTTCTCTTGGCTAAACTCCAGCTTCCAGAATCAATTTAGTTATAATGAAAGGAAACAACAAACTTTTTTATTTGGACTTGAGACGAAAGTATTGGATATTGTTGCTAATGTTTTTAGTCTTTACCAATATCAAGAGGCATTTTGGAACAAATCACATAAGTGAAATCATTGAGTCCTTGTAAATTTCAGTTTTGTTCAAGTAAGGAGTTAGATGGCTACTCACAAAGCTGAGTATTGGTCTTGCCCGATAACCAATATTCTGGGAACAAATGTTACTTTTAGCTTCAGATTTTTCAAAAGTCTAGTCTTTTCCAAATGGACATAATTTCTCCTCAATTAAATCCATGTTCGGATTTGCAATGAAAGCCAAAGTTGATTCATCCTCAAAAGTAGGCAAATTATAAAGCTTTTCAATGGCAAAAGGGAAGTAGTCTAGCGTTTCCCCTTAGACAGTAGAGAAGTGAGAGTTGGGGTCCAATTTCTTATAAAGTTTCATTACCAAATCTAGATAAAATCCTCCTGACTGTTGAGAAAACAGTTCTCATTGATAATGTTGAATAACCCTTGCAATGAATGTATCTTTGCTTCCATCCTCACAGTTGATGCATTCATTGCTAGAGTTATTTAACACTACCTATAGGAACTGTTTTCTCAACCGGCAAGAGGATTTTATCTGAATTTGGAAATTTTGTAAGGAGTTGGATTCTAACTCGTACTTCTCTACTGTCGGAGGAAAAAAGCTAGACTACTCTCCCTTTGCCATTAGAAAGTTTTATAATCTGCTACTTCTGGGGATGAAGCAACTTTGGCTTTCATTGCAAATCCAACATGAATTTAATTGTGTCCATTTGGACTTATAAAAAAATGGAGCTATAAGTACATCCGTTCCCGAAATCAAGGTCACTGGACGAGATCAATAATCAACTTTTTGAGTAGCCGTCTAACCCTTAACTCGAACAAAGGACTAAATAATTTTCACCTATGCGATTTGTTCCAGAATGCCTCTGGAACACATTACCTACCAGATTTCCTTCCACTATAACTCGGTTGATTCTGGAGCCGGAGTTCAACAAGAGGAGCATTTAGACGGTTAGAAAAAATAATCACCAAGAAATCTTGATGGCTAAAGATGGAAGATACTACAAGACCAAAACAATGAGAAGGAAAAAGAGAACCATTCAATGCTAGGGGAAGATCGGAACCAGCCATGCTTTGAAAGATGGGGGATAAGATTGACAGCTTGTTTTGATGGTTGTTACCTATCATATTGTATCGTATTGTTACTTTAAATACAATGTTTGTTTTGAATGTTACTTTAATGTTATTATATCGTATCGTTAAATCCATCGTTATGTAATGACGAAAAGTGTCACTTTATGAAACGCCGGATTTGGTGTGCTGACGTCGTTTCTTTGCTTCTTTCCTCTCATCTTGCCCTTCTTTATTATTAAATAATCATATTTTATTCTTTATTCTACTTTTTATATAATAATTCTACTCCGTATCCTATTTTGTTTTAGTAATGTTGCAAGTTTATTCTTCATATTGTTAGTGCGTAACATCATGAAACGACGGCAAACGATACAATCTATTCAAACATTGTATTCATCAAACAATATAATACAGTACAATACAATACGATACATTATGAAACGACATGTAACAACAATCCAAACAAGCTGTGAATTACTAACCAAAGCATTTGAAGATGTGAAAATTAGTGTTTCAGGAGCAAGGAGATAGAGCTGTTGGTTTAGAAGTCTGGTTAATGAAAAATTTGGACAGGGTTGAGAATATTTTAATACAACATTCACTTTATACTAGCTCTACAATTTGGGTGTTTGCCAACTATGTGAAGAATGTGGGAGCAAAAATGGGTTACACAATACAAATGGATTTTCCCCCTTTTCATTTTATGGATCCTGATTCTGTATATGGGCAGCCACCAGCACAATGTATTAGTGATTAGCATTTAAGATTAAAATCTAGTATAAGAAGACTGTCACTAAAATATTAATAGCGACAAAATCTGCATTCTTCATTTGGATATCAAATTTAAAATGATTTTCGAACTTGATTGACATGATTTTCAACAATCAACTGAATCTTAACTCCGGACTAGTTGGATCTGCTATATCAATCTTTCATATATATATTCTGATTACTTTTGAGAATATATCATAGTTAAACTATTTTTTACGCTGACTAACCTACCGCAACACTCCTCATATTCGGATTTGCTGCCGGCTAGTCCTGCGAACCTTACAGAGGCGAAGTTTGATTGTCATGATTGTACTTCATATTCCACTTAGTTGTAGTTCTTTGAATTTTTTGTCCATGTATTTGTTGCTTGTATTTATAGCGAGTTTTTCTTTGATTACACATTTCAGTTCTTTTTTACGCTTAAAACCATAGTAGATTTTGAAACTCTATGCCTTTTACCTTTAATGATACTATTAGAAAGTGGCACAATGTTGTCGGAATGGCCAGTAAAAATAGGCGTTGTGTCACTGGGACAACCATCAGAAATGGACATAGACTGAACAGACCGTTATAGAAAATAAGTGTGGCATCACTAGTAGGGTCACCGGAGATAGATGTAGTGCCTTCACAACGATCACTTGGAGATCGGCACTGTACCGTCAGAGCTGGCACCGAAAATAGAAATGTTGCTGCTTGAACGGGAACGGTAGGAGTTACTTAAACCACTACCACAATTGTAGAGTCTTTGATACCATTTTTAGATAACAAGAGAAATGAAGAGATACATAGATAACTTGATGATTTGGTAAATGGAAAGCATTACTTTTTTCAAACAAAAGATATAGATGATATGTCCAGTGTGGGACATCTCAAAAATAAGTTTACATATCTAACATTCTAACACTAACTCTTTAACATTCCAACAACCCATAAAAAAAGCTCTGTAACATTCTAGCAAATTAGCTTCAGAGAAGTTTGGAGCTTCCGCTTGTCCTTTTTCCAAGAAGGAAAACAACATAGCGAGACAGGTGCTTTGGACCGCCGCCAGATAAGTACAAGCTACCTGAGTCTCTATCGATATAGTAGAGGTGCTGATACCATGTGGAAAAATAAGAGAATAGAGATAGTAGAGGCAGTGGTACCATGTGAGAAAATAAGAGGGAATACTTGATCATCTGATGACACAGGACAGAGCTATTTATCTGTGTGAACATAATATACATGATATTTGCACACTGCAGGACAATATCTAACATCAAAATTGATCCTTAAACATTTTAGCATTTTAATAATAACCCTTGACATTCTAACATATACATTTACCAACTCAAGCTCTGTACTGAAATTTTCCTTGTGGTGCTTGTGCTTCACTCCTGAGGAAAGGAAAAGGGAAGTCAAAAATAAAAGTTACAACAATTCATAAATACCTGAATTGGGGGTACGACCGTTATTCCTTAGCTTGTATACCGGATCTCATTTCATTGACAGGATTGTTAGACTAATTTGTCAAAGACATTCTTCACATGGACTGCATGATGAGAACTTGATAACGTCTCAAGAAAAAAATGAACAGTTAATTTTTTTTTAATCTCAGTTCTTTTGCATGTTCATTTTTCATTTTATCACACCTGTGATTGCAAAAATATCCAAAACTGAGTCAAGAATCAAACAAGTAATAGAAATGTTTTTTTCTTCCCAAAAATTCTGCACAGTCTTAATTGAGTAGGACTTCGTTAAACTTTGCAAAAGCAAATAAGAGGATGAGGAAGAAGCAAAAGAAGAGTATAATATATAGGAGGAATTGAGAGAGAGAGGTCTATACTTCTGGGGGAAAAAAATACAAGCATGCTTAGGTTCATATAATGCACATTGTAAATGGCTTTGCTAAAGAGCTAGTAGTTTCCAACAATTTCATTTCTGTTCCCTTTATTTCTTCTTCTTGGGTTTGCTACAGAAGGTGGGGCAAGTGCTAAACTTGCTAATGAAATTGCTTTGTATATTCTGTTTTGGTAATGCTCTATGATACGACGACTTCTAGCCTTAGCTTTGCATTCACACCATCAGTTTCAATCAGAACTTTGTGGCATCAACCGAAAAGCTTACATTAAAAATGCTTTCTTTCTAATCTGTTGTACTGATTATAAATGTCTGCTTCTAGAGAAGATGGACTAGTCTTTTCAAGCCACTGTCTGTTATAGATGCTTTATTATTGACCTTTTGTTGGACCGACAAAATTTAGAAAGTAGACATTTTTAATTGAGGCTCGTTTTTTTTCAACATTTTTAATTGAGGTTATCTGTTTCAAATTTTTGTAGGGTGGACAAAGTACATTAGAGAATTGTCAGGTTCTGCAGGTGAGATTTTCTTTCCTGTAAAACATATCTGTTTGTGCTTTAATGTGGAGTATCTTGAAAAATCCTTAGCTGCACTATGGCATACTTATGGATGTCCTGTTATTGTCTGATTCATTTTGACAGTTAATCTGTATGATAGTTTATAGTAAGTGCTGCTTTAGAAAACAATGTTTATTACTGATTTGAAACATATCCTACTTTATCTTTTAGCTGCCAGTTCATTAGAAAAAACAGGGAGTATTAATAGCATGTTTGGCCAAGCTGGAAAAATCAGTTTATTTTGGGATGTGCTTTTTTCAAAAGTGCTTTTCGAAAAAGTACTTTTAGAGGCTAATCAATTTGAAAAGTACTTTCGAGCAACAACTAGTGTTTGGCAAGCTTTTCAAAAAGTGCTTTTAAGTATTAAATTAGGAATAAGGACATGAAGAGATTTAGAGCCCGTTTGGATAGACTTATTTTAAGTGACTTTTAAGCATAAGCCATAAGTTAGGAATTCTAGCTTTTGGCCTTCTTTTTTTTTTGGGGTCATTTTAGCTTAAAAACAAGTGCTTAAAAGCTAAGTTGCTCAGACATGACAGTTTAGATGTTGCACCCGTGTCGACACGACACTAGTATGGGTGTGGGTCAGTGTTGTGAAGAGCGTGAAGCGAGAAAAAGCGACAACCCCTATTTCACGAGAAGCGAGAAGCGAGAAGCGAAGCGTTCGCTTTTTTGAAGTGAAGCGGAATTTAAAAAAAAAAAATTAAAATAAATACTGCAGAGACAACACATGTAATTGTAAGCAAATGTTCAATAATTCAATTAAAAAACTAAAGAGTAGCATCAATTAAAGCACAAAATGAGCATCCTATTCTCTGTTAAAAACTGAAAAAATTGGGCAGCAATTTTCTGGAAAAAATTCGCCAGCATTTCGCCGGTTTTTGGACGTTTAGAAAGAAAAAAAGAAAGAAAAAAAAGAAGAAGAAGAATGAAAATCAGAAGTTCAGAACATACCTGTTGAAGTCTTGAACTTGAAGTTGAAGAAGAAGAAGAACAACCCTAGTTGATGCTTTGAGATTCTTTCAGAAATCAGAAGTAGATGAAGAAGAAGAAGTCGCTGCTGTTGGAAGTTGAAGAACCCTAGTCGCTGCTGTTGAAGAAGTCCAGACTAGTGTTTTATCCAAAAAACTCGTTTTTAATAAAATAAGGTTGGGTATTTTAAAACAGAGAAGCGGACGCTTCTTCGCTTCTCTTTCCCCGCTTCTCACTTAAAGCGAGGAAGCAGACCCTTTTTTAAACACTGGTGTGGGTATGGGATCTGTACCGGATTTGGTCAAACAATTTTGGATACGTTGACCATGATGGACGGAAAATTTCAAGACGAGATACAATTTGATTCTCGGAATCAGAACCAAAACTAGGGTAAATTTGAAGAAAATAGCATGTATTACTAGGAAATCAATCCTTACTTATCTACAACTTGAGAATAAAAAAAAACAAACTTTACAAGTTATACGTAAGTATTCCACAAAATTTCTCAAAATTTAGAGATATTTTTATTTTTTTAATTATTTTTAGCCGAATCCCCGCACCTGTTCCCGAATCTTAGAATTTATATCTCAAAGGATCCGACCTTTAGATCCGCACCCGTGTTGGACACTCGCACCCATATCCGAGCAACTTAGCTTAAAAAATACTTTTTTACTTTATCCAAACACTACAAAATGGCTTAAACGCTATTTTGGCTTAAAAACAATTAAAATAAGCTAATCCAAACGGGCTCTTAACTTAATAGTTAATATTATACGAGTAGATAAATAATCACAAATATTTATTATTAAAAATAATAATTAAGTTTTTTATTTTATTTAAGTAAACTCTAAAAATAAAATTGAAATGTACTTTATTCTGATTTAAACATATCAAAAAATCTTTCAATAAATATGAAAGTTCACCCCAAAAGTCATTATATATTACTTAATAGTTTAAAATAAGTAAGGCTATTTTGGTATTATACAATATTTTGCTAAGGATATTATTTGTAAGAAGAAATCCAAAACTGCTTCTGCTTCTGGGGAGAAGCTACTTTTTTCTGTTTCTCAAAAACTGCTTCTGCTTCTACCCAAAAGCACTTTTTATCCCCCAAAAAGCTTGGCCAAACACCTCAAGTTGAGAAAAAATCACTTTTTTGAGAAAAAAACAATTTTGGCCATGGGAGAAGCTTGGCCAAACAGGCTATAAGACTATTTAGGGATTATGGTCACTTGCGTATCTTGTGCTTTATCTCCTTAATTATTTTGCTGCTTGGGTTCTCCATTTTTATCCATGTTCTCTGAACTAGTTATTTGTTTGACTGCTCCTTTGTGATTGCCGGAAGTGTAAAATCTGGTACATCTCTTGGATCCAGTGCCAATCTCAATATTGAAATGGAACTTGGCTAGCCAACCTTCATCCCTCCTCCACTTCACCCAAAAAGAGGGGGAAAAAGCCGAAGAGAAAAGAAAAGGTTATGATTATGTAGAGAGCGGGAAGTAACTGGGGAATTAGTGTGTCTAAGAGTTGACATAATTGATGGTACAACTCTCTTCCTGCAGGCGACAGTTAATCGATCCAAGGGGAATCGAACTGATATATCAAAGGCTGAACTTATTCAGAGAAGTTCTTATTGTCGGGTTTCAGGTAGATGCAGTCTTGTGTTCAAGTATTCATAGTTTATGATTTACCTCTGCCAATTAACCTTTTAAAATTACATCCAGGTCGTGACATGGATCTTCTTGAACTTTCTGCCTACGGCAATGTCCGTCATGGGCAAGATTCTGGGGGATGTAAAATTCAGTGAGTCATTATTTTGATAATTTCAGTATTACAACTTCTTTGTACAAGATACTCTAGAATGACATTGATGCACTTCTCTTCCATAATCAAAGGAAAGGGTGTCTGTTGGAATTTAGGCCTAGTATTCGTGTATCAAGTTGCCCACAGTTGTTAACTGACAATTGTAGCTAGCTTCATGATCCTTGCTACTTGTATTTATTCTCTTTACAAATCAATTAAAGCTCTTCACTACTTCCACTCTCACCTCTTATTTTCTTCTGTTTCTGTCTTCGCTTTTCTATTTGCTCTATGTTTATACGTGCTAGTTAATACCCTTCTTCTGTTCATTCTGGAGTAGACAAAGGAAGTGGCTTGAAAAGTGGTATTACTACTTAATGAAAGCTCGAGGAATTTTGTTGAGAACGTTTCAGCTTCATGTAAAGCACTTCTGACTTGTTTTTTGTAGTTTGTGTAGGTGCAGCCACTGGGTTGCTGTTGTTGTGTAGGTGCAGATTAATTACCTCTGCAATCATGCATAGACCCTAAGAAGTCGTTGAGGGAGTTATTCTTGCTCACAACCCCTTAAGGTTTGCACTCATTCTCTTTTGATAGAAAAAAGGAAGAACTACCTAAATTGTTTGAAAATTACGTCTGTAGTTTTTTATCGTTACCTTGATAGAAAAGGCTAGAGATTGATTATACACAAGGCAGTTAGTCAGTAGCAGTCAAGTAATTAGCACATTTTGTAGGCTGATGGTGATGATATTTTGTTTCATATTCTCATATTCTTAAGTATTCAGCACGTTGATTGTTGCCAATTTCACGAAGCTATCATTACAGTAGAGTGTTGCTTTTAGGAAAAGCTGAAGCAGCAAAAGAGTGTAGCAGGTACCGGTCAAAGAGTGTAGCAAAAGTGAAAAGCATGGTTTACTAGGTTCAAATTCTAGTACTAGACAAACATCGCTAAGTGATTTTATTCATATGCCTAAACTTTGACGGACATAGAGCTCGTTTGGGTTAGCCGATTGTAAATATCTGATAAGCTTGAGGTGCTGAAAAGCTCTGTTTTAAAAGGCGTTTTTGGGGCGAGCCCCGGGGCGAGGCGTACCAAAAACGCCCCGGGGCGATGGTGTGGGGCGAAAGTCTCAAGAGGCGTACGCTCGGGCGTTCGGGGCACATTTTTTTAGTAAGGAATAAGCCCTAGAGACTTTTTCAAATTAAAACAAAATTTGTTGAATTAATCCTTCATATAATACCCAAATTCTCAAAAGTCAGTTTGGTAATTACTCAAGGTTTAAAAAGGAACTCAAAAGTATTAAATTTAAAAGTAAAGACCTTTTTTTATTGATTTAAGCCCTAATTTATGGTTTTCACAAATTTTTATCTTGTCCGCTAGTCTGCTAATATCTCTCAAAAGCAACGAATGTTTAATTTGTTTTACAAATACAAAGAGAACTACATTTTTCTTCATGGCAGCAAATTCAAAGTTCAAATTGCAGGTTAATCATCCTTTTTGTTCCTGCATATAGAAAACTTTATTCTTTTAGACTCAAATTACTTGTGCTTGTAAGTAACGTATAATAGATTGTTTTGATTAGTTTTTTGTGAGGATGAAACACACATATATATAGTTTTCTTCAATTATTATGCAATTTTACATGTTTGTAAATATTAACTGTCACTATATTATTTTATAAAATATTAAAAATTAAATATCTATGGGGCTTACGCCCCGCGCCTCGGCATATGTAAAATGCCCCGCCTTACGCCCATGCCTTTTAAAACACTGCTGAAAAGCACTATAAAGTGCGAAAATTGGTTTTGTAAATAAGCAATTATGTGTTCGGGTTAGGGCTGGGCATATATCAGGTAAAACCAATAACCCGAACCGTTAATTATTTATTGGGTTATCGGTATTGGGTTATTGGGTTAACGATTCGGTAACGGTTTCGAATTTTTTCACTATTGGGTTATCGGTTCGGGTCTCGGTTTGGCAATTCTGTTATTGGGTTAACCGATAACCCAATAAGGATTAACAAAATTACTACTTTACCCTTAAGTATATACATATGCAGCTATGGTAGGGCTTCATTCTTTCCTATTCTTTTTCAGCCTCAGCCGCATTCTTCAGAGTTCAGACTCTTCACTCTTCAATTGCTTCACAGTTCACATTTCTCAGCCGCATTCTTCAGCTTCATCTTCATTCTTCGTGTAAGTTTTTAGTTGCTTCATCTTCATTGTCTAAACGGAACTTCATTGTCTAGGAAATCGTAGAATCAGCTTTAAGAATGAAAAACTTCTGAGAATATTAATTGTAAAATCACAGAGAAAGTAGGTGTAGGTTAAACCAATATGTATTTTGTTCAGTTGCCTTATGTCTAGATTCTTTTAATATGTTTTTTAAGATTTTGTCATGAAAATAGAACCTTACTGGTAGTGCATTCACCGATCAAAAGAAATTACTGGTACTGTAGTGTGCAGTCAGTAGTAACACATTTGATTAGAAACCCTAAACGTGTGGGCCGAGTCCTAGTCAAACCCGGAACGAATTAAGTCTTCAAAACTCGGATTGGGCTTGGCCTCAGGCCTGGCGTCGCCAGCCTAACGCCTGTAATTTGGCTGGCCTCGCCAGGCTAAAGCCTGGTTCAGCCTGGCCTTAGGCTGGCCTCGCCAGGCTAAAGCCTACTCCAGCCTGGCCTTTGGCTGGCCTCGCCAGGTCTCTCATTTTCACTGTTCTCGAGCACACTTTCAAAGTTTAAGTATCCATTTTGCTCTACTTTCATCTCCAATTCACCTACACATAAAATAGACTCTATTATGCACAAATAAAGTGTAATTTATCATTAAAGCATGTAAAATGCAAGGCACATAATGTATGAAACTATGGAATTATAGCCACACATCAGATTGCACTGGAATAACCATGCATTACATTGCTCTTTTCTTTTTCTTGTATTCCAAAGTCCTGTTAACTAATGTGTCAACTCTTGACGTTGAAATGTGTCAACTCTTTTCAAGCTTTCAATTTGTTTTTTAAGATTATGTTGCCTCGCTGCTTGATTTCTTTTACTCTTTTTCTTTTTTGCTTAACTCTAGATTGAGTTATCTTATCGGGTAAACCGATAACTGAACCGATAATGATCGATAACCGATTAACCGATAACCGATAATTAATATCTTATCGGTTTGGTTATCGGTTTATCATATTTGTAAACCGATAACCGATATGCTAAACCGATAATATTCATAATCGAACCGAACCGACCGATGCCCACCCCTAGTTCGGGTGAAAGTACTGAAATTGATAATAATAAGCAGGTGATGTGTTTAGTAAAAATTGCTGATAAGCTGTTCTTATATTATACTGACTAAAATACTCTTAAAGTTTTACAAAATATTATAAATTAAAAACTTTTTTCATAAAGAAAAGGAGGAACAAAACGTACATGGAATGAAGAGAAAACTAGGAATTTTATTTTGGGAAAGGTATTTTGTGAATTAAAATATTATTACGGATAAAATAGTAAAAATTTTGGTAAAAGAGAAAGTGCTTATAAGGTGAAAAGTCATAAGTTGGGGGTGACTAACTTGTGGCTTATTGTTGATTTTGGCTTATAAGCACTTTAGATATTTACCAAAAGCGTAGAAATGTAAAAATGTGCTTATAAGCTAGTTTGACCGGCTTATAAGCTTAGCTTTAATGAGAGGTAAGAGGTAATATTGATTAAGGATGTCGATAGCTTGCCAATATTCGAAGTTGAGGTCTTATGGGAATCACATTTGAGTTGATGCCAATTTCTCACTTTTTGCTGTCACTGGCTAGGGATGGCAATGGGGCGGTGTAGGTGTGGGGCGGTGCGGGTTACATCGTTTGCGGGGGCGGTGTGGATTCTAATTTGTTTTACAAAAATTTGATGCGGGGCGGGTCGCGGGTCGAAATTTTAATTTTTTGAACTAAAAGGTAAAACGTTGCTCTGCTCATGACTAAAATGTAAAAGTCTAAACATAAAGTCACTGCAATTCGCTGTGTTTGCAATTCGCTGTTGCAATTAGTACAGTTGCAAACAATATTTTGTAAAGATCATTTCAAAGCATAATTCCACAATTTCTACCTTTTTTTTTTTTTTTTTGGTTGTAAATTGTTGCTTTATCACATTATCCAGTAGTTGTTTGTTTATTTTGTTTGAAGCAGTAATGGATTTTACTGGTTTTATTATGGGAAAAGAAAGGGTGGATGGTTTGTCAAAGATGCAAGTTTCTCAAAAGCAATACATTACAATCCAAAACGAAGCATACTTATACATTAACACCACCGAAAGTCTATGTTGCGCGGATTCTCCAAAATGTAACAGCATCCGTGTCGGATCCTTAAAAAGTGCACTACTTTTGGAGGATTCGACACGTATCTAGCAACATTTTCGTAGAGTCCTAGCAACATAGACGAAAGTAGCAAAATTAAGAAAAATTGCATAAAATATCTCTAAAAAGAACAATATATAAATTATAATGCAATGGAATACGGTGTCTTTTGATAATATTCTCAAATTAGAAAAATTTTAAAAAAATTATGGGTGGCGGGTTTACGCGGGGCGGGGCGGTTTAAAAACAGCAAATTATATTTTGCGGGGCGGGTTGAAACCTACACGGGTTTACGCGGGTTTGCCCTGCAACAGCCCCGCCCCACACCGTTACACTGGCTATCTGATGGGGACGTAGAGTTGGGTCTGCTGCAAAATCTCTCGTAGAAGAATCTTGAGCGTAAATCTCTTTTCACAGAGAAATAAATACCTAAATAGGGCAAACAAGCAATAAATGGAAAAAAAAAAAAAAACATAGTAATGAAATTGCAAATACTTGGCTCAAATACAACTAGCGTTGTTCGGGGTCAATTGGTTTTGTGGTCCATTACAAACTTGTATTTAATTTTATGACCTCATCTCTTTTTTTATACATGAGAGATTTGTTTTTACACATAAGAGATTTTTCTTTTACACGTAAGAGATCTAAAAATGACATTTTCTGAAATTAAACATTATAAAAGGTCATGAAGGCCTAAAACCCCGTTGTATTCGTATAGTGGCCGATTAATCCCAAGCACCCGAATAATTAGCTGAAGAATTTGGTGAGAGAGAATGACAACGGGTGCCAAACTCTGAGGCCAGAAAAAAAAAAAGCAACACGAAATTGTTACTCTCTTTCAATTTAAATGATACACTTTCCTTATTAGTATGTTTAAAAAAGAATGACACATTTGTATATTTAGAAAGCATTTAACTTTAAACTTCATTTTAAGCTTTTATAGTCACAAAAATATCATGGCCCACAAAGCTTTTGTCCCTTAAGCTTTTAGCATCACATGTTTCAATTTTTTTTTCCTCTTAAACTTTGTGTCAAATCAAACTATCTCATTTAAATTGAAACGGAGGAAATAAGACTTAAGAGTCATCATATATATATATATATATGCTTGACATCAATTTGGAAGATGTTAGAGCATGTAGCTGATAGTCAATGTTACTAAATAAATGAGAATCCTGTAGTAGTTTAACTATAACTATTAAGACTTTTTTATGATGGTGTCCAGATTAGCTTATTTGTACCTCAATTACTCCACCGAATACTTATTATCTCCGGCAACACAAGTACGGGTAACTATGCTGATTTACGGTTAGGCATACGAAAAGAAATTACACTCCTTGTTCTTTTGCCCAATGAGTGTGCATCTAGTAATTGTATATTAAAAAAAAAAACTAGTACATATACAATACAATTATTATTAAAACGGAAGACTTACATGCTGGTTAAGTTATACATCCTCCACTAGAAAAGGTAATTAAAGCATGCCCATTATCATGGTATACATGCCAAATTATGTATTGCAAAGTGCCAGCAGGAGCAATTTCGTGTCAGCCTTCAACTAAGAAAAGTTCTACCGAAGTCTCTGGATTTTTGTTTAACTTATCTTCTTATGGTTGCTTGTAAATAACATTTGACTTTTGGGTTAGTGGTGATAAGTGATAACATTTGGTTTGCTTTTCCACCTCAATCTTTCACTTCTTGGCTCTTATTGTCTCAACTTTGAAAAAATAGTATAACGTTTAAGTTGGAAGTCCAAAAGATCTTTCTTTCACTTTTAGTTACAAAGTGAAAGCTTAACATCCACACTTTCCTAACAGATGCCTTTTTCCTTATAAAATACTGTCCCTTTTTCCTAAAATACAAAGTGTTTTTGTTATGCCAACCATGGTACTTTCTTGTCAATCTCCACCTACTTTGTCTTCTAGATGGAGAGCATTGCCAACTGAGTAATATATTCTTGCAAAGATTTCATGCCTGCTAAGTTTCCAATTTTTTTTTCCTTTCCAAGATGAAAGATTTACCTAGCTTTTATGGAAAATTCTAGTGTTTGTAACAAAATTCTCAAATGTCTTAGGTTGTGAAATAGTTTTCTTTTTTATGTCAAATAATATCCTCAAATTTTTATCTGTACAAATGAAAAGAAAATGGAAAAAAAGAAAGTCTGTTATGTGTTGAAAATTTGCATCAGCAGCTGTTTTGAGTTGTAGGATTCATAGTTAGATTTTTAGAAAAGGAATGGACTAGAAATGGATGAACCCTACCTTGAAAAGTTGATTTTCAATTACCAGTTGTCCAAGAAACAGAAAAGAAAACAAATGCATATAGGGAAAAGAAATGGTTATATCTATATCCCTCTAAAAGGAAATAAAAGAAAGGAAAGCAAAAGCCAAAAGCATTTATGCCATATGAGCATATGGAATTTTGGGTCCCCTTAATCAACTAATTTTTACATAAAATGTGGCTAAGAAATGCTCAGGACATCAAAATATCTACTCTGTTTTATTGACAAAATTGCCAAGTGCACCTGTTACACTAGATTGTTCTGATTTTCTAAGTGCCCACTAGGCTAATGTCTACATCAAGCAACACAAATAGATTTATTTTTTTGTTGACTGATTGTATTGATTTTGCAGTTATTTCTCCCTCTTGCCTAATTATCAGGTAATGGATTGCTGAAAATCCAGAGTCAGGTAAGGGGTATTAGGCTGTTATTATTATTATTTTTGGATATCTGAGGTTGAGAAGCAGGTTAAATATTCACAACTAAAATAATAGAGAGAAAAAAGAAAAGAAAAGAAGAGAAAGTTCAAGTTCAAGTGACTTATTTTTGGTTGCCACCTGGGACTTTGGGGTTTAAGAAAGAGAAAAGGAAAAGAAAATCAAAAGTTGTACTCCGTCGTCCATTTCAAAAAGATTGACTATATTTTCTTATTAGTCCGTTTAAAAAAGATTGACATTCTTTAATATTTCCTTAAAAGAAAGTATTTATAGACATACAAATACTATGACATGTTTA